CGACCACAAAGACCATTTCAAGGTGGGCATAGTCAACAGAGCAGTTCAGTAGCAGATAGTTCTGATTCCGGTAATATTGAATAAATCGACATTAAAACACTACAATTTTTTAATTGAACAACACAGGGCAGCAAAACGGCGGCCCGGGAGTTTTCAGTGGAGCATTTGCGGGCTTTTTTCCTTCGCCACAACAATTCGCCACAGGTTTATCGGACGGAATACAAAGTTTCGTGGGAACGATACCGGCAATTGGGCAAAGTTTCCAGTCAATTTTGCCGAGTTTTAGTGACTTTCAGCTGCCGCAACTACCCCAATTCAATCCTGGAGGTACAAAAAAGATTTAAACTTGCTTGTGTTTGCACATTTATTCATAGAGCTCACTTTCAACATCAAAAACAGTTTTTCATATTCATGATGAAGGCTTCATAAAACTTCGATATAAAAGTAGCAGATGCAATCCAATCAACACGTTTTTTGCTTTCCACAAAGACAATACAGGACCGGTTACGTTTGCTCCACTTTTTCAAGGCTTCAATCCGAGTTCTTCTACAAACAATTTCAATCGGCCCCCCGTTTCATCAGCTCCCATTGCTACAACTCTATCACCAGTATCGTCTACCCCATTTACTACAACGACTGATCCAGACGATGTGATCTACAGCGATGAGCTGAAACCTGTTCACGAAGATTACGATCCGATAACTGATCCGTATATTAGCAATAAATTGCCTCCTGGTTAGTGCGATTTATCTTTCGACGATGCAGGATTTAGGTTTTCTTTTTATTTAACTTTGGGTGTTCGCAGAGAAGCTTTTTAATGTCTAACGGGATTTTTGTTGTTTTAGGTGTATTAACTCCGGGGCAGTACTTGGTAGTATCTAATCCGCATTTAGGGAGCTACACGCATGATATAAGCGCTTTTAATCCTACTAATTTGTATAACAAGCTACAGCAAGGCGTGATGGAGGCTTTGGATGAATTTGGGAGCTTTTTTTGAAGACTTTAGGAGGTATGCGACTTTACTAACAATGGGGGGGTTGACTTTGAGGAATTGATGAGTTTTTTGTTAACTTAATTTAAATTTTCAGGTATAAACCGGTATAACTATAATAAAAAAAGTGGGTATGGCCAATCGCGCTCTGTATACGATACGCGCAATAAGGATGGCCCTCAACCAAGACCAGAAGGACGAAGTTTCCGATTTCCTTCATAGGAGTATTTGGAATAGTTCAGAATAACATTAGCAATAAAATCCATATATTTTTGTAAATATATATAATTCGCAATTAGGAACAGTGTCTTTCTCTTACATTAACACATTAGATAATACAAAATGCAACATTTTTAACTTTTCAATTTAATTCAGCTGAATCAGGCCGATATCTAACAGATATATCGACGTGCCATTTTCAATAGTAGCTGCTACATCCAGAAGATTGCACGACGTAGTAGAAAATTCGTACATGCTAAAAATGAGTTGAAGAAAATGTGCAAATGAGCCAAGAAACCAGCAAGAACTTACCTTAAGAGCACCGATCCAGTATAGCGAGGATTATTCAACCATTTCATGTACCTTTTAGCAATATTATTTAAGGTAACATTATACTGTATTTCATGGTCTTTCAGCGGGTTCACCTCTAATAGTGTTACATTATTAGTCGGAGACGCATTTGGTTCATCTGAAAATTTTTGAGAGCGAAAAATAAATGAAAGTAGAACAAATAATTTGGAATATAAAATTGAACAATTATTAAGAGAAGCACAATGTGTGCAATTTTTTTGCTAATTTTTAAACTTGTCCAGGCGATGAAATAGAGGCAGTCGGGTAAGTAGATAAAGAACTTTAAAAGACACTGAATTATTTCAGAATAATTAATAATCACCACGAGATGCAGATGAAAAAGATCTAGGAATCAAAAAAATTCCAAAAATGTTACTGAATATTCAGAAGAAGAAAATTCAGTTTTGGAAGAACTAAGACAAGTAAAAATGGAAAACCAAATGCTGGAAGATCGAAATTACAAGATTTTAAGACCAAATAACCAAAGCGCTGAAAATGTTAAGGAAATGGCAAAACTAGATTGAAGGGTACACGAAATAAAGCAGTGAGAATTAAAGTTAAATTCAAAGAGAAAAGAGATCAGAATGATACAGTATTCATTATGATGAGCTATTGAAAGACAAAGAGGCATTAAAGAAACTTTAAAACAAATAGCAACACAAATCGGAGAAAAACTGCATATAAATAATACTAGAAAAATATGTCTGGAGTCAAAGTCTGGATATTGAGTTAACGCAAATTAATTCAAACCACAATAGGTTCAATTTCAACCCAAAACCACAAAGCGTTGCCTTCAACTATCCACAAAAAAAATCACCACCCTGCATAAATACACTCACCCAGCAATTTGACCAGTCTAAGTGCCCCACTATTCAATGAAGTTCTTAGGATGATTTTCACTCTTGTATTATCGTTGTTCGTCAATCTTTTCGTGACAATATAAAGGCCAATTTTGCCACTTAGTTTTATGTCACAAGCAAAAATCCTATGAGCAAACATGCCTTCTGGGGCATCCTCAAAATTATCAGTCGATATCAAGCAAACGTTTTTCGTTTCAAAGAAGCTTCTGGAAAGACAAGCGCAGTAGTTCAGCGATTCAATCTGCTGATACTTGGGAATTGTTTTGAGATTTTCCGGGTAGAGAATCCTGGATATTTGCGGTTTTTGAATGTACATGTTGTAGAAGTTCTGAAAATTGCAACAATATAATCCAACAGACTTTGGTTTTCCATCGCAATAACTTACATAATCCAGACCGATGTGGAAGTCTGTTTCGAAAAAATCGTTTATGGGATGTGTGTAGAGGTACGGCCAAAGACTTGCCCAAAATGCGTCATCTCGGTTCAAAAATCTGTGAAATGCGGTTGATTGCAGGTTCTTTTCTAAGGTTTCATGCGTCCATCCAGGAGCGAAGATCGCTATGGATAAATCATGCTTTCGAGCTAATTTCGTCGCCTAAAAGCACAATTTTGGGCTGAAAACTGTAAAATGTATTTTTCGTCTGAGTACCTTGTAAGTGTTAAACATCCCACCGCCAAACATTCCTCGACCAAAAACATCAATTCCAACAAAAACATCAAAGCGTCTGGCTCCAGCGGCTTCCACAGACTTTATGAGTGTTGCTTCAGTCCAGGTGTAGTTTAAGAAAATTGCGTCGCAACAGTCGAAGAAGCATCTAAAATTGAAATTTCCTAACAGTAACTTTCAAAAAATGAAAAAATCAACTATGGAACCAACCTATTTTCTGAGCTTAACTGATTTTGCCATTTAAGTTCTCCATTCTTTGTTACACTGTCGTACCAAATGACCACGTTTTCACTATCCTGTTCGTGTGTTTTCCTAGTGAGAATATCCACGAAACTTATGAGAAGTCCGGGGTTTTTCACCTTATTCTCGAAATTCAAAAGCCACCCATCGAAACCGAAAGTTCGTTGTATTTCGGTAAGCTGATAAACAAACTCTCGCATTTCAGTGCTGGAACTGAAAATTTCTTCATCGCATATCTTGATTCCTTCATTATTTTCCGTGATTATTGTTCCTGAATATAAAAAATGCGTGATTGGAGAGATTGTTGATGTTGTGAGCTTCAGTACCTAAAACTTTAACTCCATTTCGGTGTCCAGCATTTACCCAAGCCAGCGGAGGAATTGTTATAAAGTGGTGGCTGAAGTAAATAAAATAGTCGATTTGCGACCAGTTGTAGAAAGGATAACCGTCTGTGACCAACGTTTTATCTTCTTGTCCCTCAAATGGTATATACCTGAGAATCAATAAATAACAGCAACATTTAACCACATATAATGCAAAGGTTCACTTACGAATCTGCTTGATATCCGCCTTTATAATCGTGGCATACCAAAGTTTTTGGAACAGTTCTGCTATCAATACGCGAGCCAGGATTGAAAGAATCCTCTTGACAATGGCAATCTTCTGGATTATTTCTAATAACAAAACTGGAGCGTTTTTTCAATGGCAGCACTCGATTCACCCATTCTGGGGGATTTGCCAGACAATCTTTTATATCGGCGTAGTTGCTAATTGGTCTACATTGTGAGAAACTTGGAATCATCTTGCTTAAAACCTAAATAAACATGGACGTTACTAAAAAACCTAAATATGTATATAAACTATATATAACAAAGGATGAGGCTTATGACTGTGACAAATTAAAAAAATATATACCTGAGCTTGTTTTCGTGTGATTAAATTACCTTTTATGGGGCAACAGCAGTAAAAGCTGCGAAAAACGATACAAAAACAACAACTAGCCAAGAAGTATTACACTGATCGGCTAAGACTCTAATCGGCTTTTGTACATATAGATAGTAACATTTATTTATCACTCTGGCCACTTTTACTGACCTGTTTCCTGTTCTTAGTGTGTGAATGATTCCATGCATTTAATGCATACAACTTGATCAATGCATTCTTTCTAATCTTTAGCGTATGGTTGTACTACAAGGTGGTTTACATTTTTATTTACAGAAATGATCAATGTAGCATAATATAAGGCAATACAGTGTGTTTTATAATGATGGAAAACATTCTACTTGGTATTTATTGTGCATGTGTGTCAATTTAATATGAGGAACAAAATAAATAATATAAAATTGGTTTAACTAAGTGCAGAGACGATAATTTCAATTGGGGGTCCGTTTGAAAGGCACCATAAAATTTGATCGTTGTGGGGAACTGTAGCACCTTAATAGTCGAGTATTGATCATTAATAATTATAAATGTTCAATTATGTTGTGTTATATAATAAGTTGATTTTAATCGTGAAGAATCGAATGCGGATGATTACAATACAATAAGGCAGCTTTGTATAAACTTATGTCTTATGCCCTTCGTTCCTAGAAATTGGAGGTGTTGGCGTACCATCCTCTCGAATTTTTCTAGAATTTTAAAAAATATTAAGCAAAAGGATTCATTTTAGAAAGAAAGACAGCTGACGGATTTAGGTGAGGAAAAAAAATCAACAGGTTAGTGCTGTACCAAGTTTTTTTTAAACGAATGTATTTAGAAAAAACATAAAAACTTCTTTGCAATATAAATAAAAAGTTATTGCTTTCATGCGAAAGTCTGTACAGGTTTTTGCAGATATTGGACAAGAACTAAAAGCAATGTTTTGAATCCATGTTTTTTCCGAAAAAAATTGTTTCAAACTAAAGCTACAATAAAGACATTTTCTTACTGTTTAATTAACGCTGAACCAGCGAATCTAATATTTTAGGCTCTTTGAATGTTAGCAATTGCATATTTGGTCGACTAACTTGATGGATCGGATGTTTTTAAAATCAAACCCTATTTATTTAAATGTTGCTTTAAAATGCTTATTAAACAGGCCTGGTAGATTCTTTATCTATGATTCTTTCCACAACTTGCATAATGCATACGTGGAGAGACAAAGATATGAGCAACCACAAATATGTTTAACTGTTATCTAAATAATTATTATCATAATACATAAGCCCTGGTACGAATCAGTGAATTATAATTATAATAATTATTTAGGAGTGAATTAATATGCTCATTAAGCAACTGGTTTCATAGTTGGATCAAAAGCAAATATGACATTGACAAATTTGTAAAGTAACAATTAAGTACAACAATAAAAATCGCAATTTACTAATTGCTTCGTTTAGTAGTAGGTAAGTAGTAAAGTAGAACTTACTAAACTGCTTAACCTGCCTGGTAGATAAAATGTAAACTTTACAGATAACGTGCAGATAGGCAGATATAGATACAGTAATAAATATACAGTTTTTACAAGATTGAAAAAAAGTTCTATTTGTTGTGTCCGAAAAAACTACCCGTCTAAACCCGTCCCGTTAAATAACTTCACAATCCGGTTCGCAACACTATTTGTGTAACAAATTAATTTTTATAAATAAGGTTAGAAACGCGTTATTGATGGAAATGGTTGTAAATAGGTTTTTTAATATCTATTTTACTATACATATATAGATAACATATATATTAGTACAAGATGAGATAAGATAAGAATTTGCATACAAAGGTCGCAAATTTAACTATAAATTGAGACAAATATATACATCTGGCATTATCATTTCGTACCAAACAATTTATTTGGTTTGTTCATTTATTTATCTAGTTACTTTTGTTTAATTTTCTTATTGATCCAAACTAGAAATTAAAAGTAGGTGAAACCACCATAATTGGCAACATAGTTTAAGTTTCAATCTGCGTTTTGGGAGAGTTCCTGTCCTCCATCCTTCTTCAATCCTTTCAGATTTTCGAAAGTTGATTTGAAATTTTACATTCATGATCGCTAAAATGTCAGTGTTTCATTTGGTCAATTTTATGCATTGTGTGTTTTCTGAGGATTCGTACAAATAACATCAAATTTGTAAATTTCTAGAAAATTCATGTGTAACTTCGATTTCTTCGGAATTTTCTCTGCCTGCTAGAGCTTTTGCTATAAATTAAATTAATTGTAGAAAGTTGATGGCAGAATCCATTGAAGTCTACCATTCCTAATTATAATTAGTTAATTAAGTTCCTAAATCTTATAGTTACATAAATAGATATATTTTAAATATATGTAATTTGCAGCATAATTTCTACGAAAAACACCATGTACACATTTTTCAGTTTTCATTCGCCATGCAAAAATTATCAAGTCTAACTGACGATTTAGTTCTGCTCGGGCTGGCGAATGCAATTGTGATTTTCTAAATTGCTTCTAAAAGGCAGACATTTTCTAATTTCGAAGAACTTATTCGGTTGCACAGTATGATCGAATACATACGTGTTCGACCAATACAATTTTCCTTTAAATTAATTATTTAGAACTGCAGTTTGCCAACATCAACCGAACTAAGTTGAGGTCGAATGAATTCTTCCCAGCGATTTCTTTGTTTCTGGCATTTAAATTTAATTCGAAGAACGTCGCATTAGATCCCCAGAAAAGCAATGAGTAACAAATTTAAAAATACGAGCAAAATACCGATAGATTACTGTCTAAATTAATATAACTCCGTTAAAGTAACGTGTAAGCACAATATAGTTTTTATTTTATTTTGATACAGCAGTTATTTATTGTTAATATCTCGAAAAAAACTAATCAAACATGATTGGAGGGCAAGTGAAAATTGACCCGAATTTGATTAAAAAAATGATAACGATGATGAAAACAAAAAGTAAAAAAAAGCGCTTTAATTAGGAAAATTAAAAAATAAAATCATTAATAAAAATAAAATGGTTTTGGAGATGTGGAGGTATATTTCGAATGTAGAGGCACTGCGAATAAGGCATCGATACACTTACGAGAACGATTTCGATTTACGACTAAACAATGCCTGTTTTGAGGGAAACATTTCCAGAAACACACGCTGGAAAAAAATACGTCAAGTGATTGATAATGAATCAAAAAACACTAAAATAATTTAACAAGATCATAAGGCCAATAGAATAATCCGAAAATTGAAATGCTTTTGCGAAATCAGCTATAACAGCAATACTTGGAAGCAAAAGTGGTTCCAACATGACGCCTGCCCACTATCAATTGGCAGAAGAAAGAAATCATCTAAAGAACGTTTTCTGTGGTCCCCAGATTTTGCGGATTTAAATCCTCTAGAATTTTTCATTTCAATTATCTGTAAGTAGTAAAAGCGACGATAAATGAATGCTCCTTTGATCCACGCAGAAAATTAGTGAAGCTAGAAGGAAAATAAGGGCCAGTAAACTCGGCACTTGACCAGTTACTATAAGTTTTTTTAGCGTCAATCAGAAAAAAAAATAAAAAATAGTTCCTATTAATATTCGTTAGTTAATTATACGTTATTACGTATTGGAAAAATTGTACTACGGCCTAAATAAATAAGTACTGCTTAGGAAATAAGCACTTTTTATCTTATTTCAGACTGAAGAAAATGGTTCTCCTTTTTGTGTTTATGGGCATTAGCCAATAGGAATGGAATTATAAGGAAGACGTAATTAAATCTGTATTAAAATTAATTTAAATCATTTATTGTATTTTTCAAAATGCGTTAAATGGAATGGAAGCAACATTATCTAAAGACATCCTGTATTTTTCTAGATAATATTGACTGATAGCATTTGCTTTGATTTGTTGAATTATGAAGCTTTAGATGGAATAATGCAAGCTACAGTGCAGTCTTACAGTGCAGTTTAATTAATTTATTGACTTCAGTTTGGTCGTTGATTAGACTAAGGTTAAATAAAAACAACAATTATTATCAAGTTTATTGTACAGGAAACGAACAAGAATTAGTTTCGGTGCTTATAGTTAAAACACCATCCATCTTCTCCTTAATACCGAAAGCTGTTAACATTAGTCCATACAATGCAGATTTTTATGTTAATGACTTCTGCGAAAGCTTTATATAAGTATTATTTGTCAAATTCCTAGAATATATTCGCATTGTCTTATAACCGTCGTTCATCCGACTTAGTCAGGTAACTGACGAGGGATTTACTTGGCCATTATCTTCTTACCTGAACAATTAACCGAAGAAATTCGTGAACAATATTTTTAGCCATGTAGTAATATGGTTTTTCAATTGTGTTATTACATACCTTCTTAACTTTATCGGTTCTATGCAAAATTTCTAGTTTTGCTTTAAAAATAACTTTCATGCCAATGTTGTTCTTCTTGATCGGTTATTTGCTTCTCGGATTTTTAAGCCCGTCAATTAGCCGTTAGTTTTAGTATCATGAGTAGAAACTGATCAGGATTTGTCTCACCCATGTTCCGGCTAAAAATATAATGTTTCTGCTAAGATCAAACTAAATTTAGCGGAGATTTAAAATGAGTATTGCTACTGTTCAGGTCACTAAAATGCATATAATTCCTCCTGCAAGCTGCAAGTGTATTTATTTGTCCCTCCCAGTGTTCCTCAATATACCTATAAATATATTTAACTGTTTGGGCAATGCTGTTGCTTAAATAAATAATAAATATTTATTTTTAATTGCAAATAATACGTACATTCTGGAACGGAGTTAATTGAATAAAAAGAACTTTCCAAAAAACTCGTCATGTTTGTTGGCAGCCAATTGAGTATAAATAAATAAACCGTTTTATATGCATGTGAGTTTACATTTTCCGGGATTTTCCTGTCCAAGGTTTTTCTAAAGCATTGTTTCCTGCTGTACGATATTTTCGTATTTACAGACCTGGCAGAACGTAAATTGTTTTCCGAAGGATTTCTCACTTAGCAAAATCCTTGACTAAGAATGAACGAGTTATTGTTACCACATATATCACTTAATTTGAAAAATTCATATTGTTTATAGGATAATAATCACAATTTAAATTGATAATCATAATTTAAAAATTACCAGGTAGCAGGGATTTCACACAACTTGCAGGTATTCCGCTGCAAGATTTATTTGCTATTGTAATAACATTAGATTTTTTCCTGTGTATTTGTATGTATTTTATAGACAGTAAAATTAAGTTCTCCGTGTATCAGCAATAAACGAAATGTTGACTGAGAAATTGCAATTAGAGGAATCAATTAGAGTTTATTTTCTAGTAGGTAGTAAACAGGGTGTTTCGAAATAACGTAGATGTATTTTAGGAGTTGATTCTCAATATCCAAATAATTAAAAAGATAGTGTAAGGATACGAGAGAAAAAAAAGAAAAGTCGACAAAATCGAATAATGCTTCAGCATTTAAAATGTTTTTTTAATCGCATAATTACATAAATGCTGCAAGAGCTTAATAATGATAACAAGGCTTAAGGATGATAGGCGATGATTACGGAAAACGCTTAATGATGATTATGATAAGATATACAGGGTGTTTACTAAAGGTACTGACAAACGTTTCGAAAAAGAGTGTTGAAACTTCGTAAAAATTCGTGTTTTTTGCTAATTTTGAATCTACTAAAAATGCGAAATTTTTTCAGAGAATTTAGCAAATCATTACTGAAAATTAGTCGCTTCTTTGGAGGCATAAGTAAAGAATTTAACTCTAAGAACTGGCAAAGAACTAAAGTATTGAAATTTATGCTGGTTTTAAAGAAATTGCTCCAATTTATTGTGAGAACAATAACCAAGTGTAAAGTCGATGACGGGCAAGAAGATGAGCTTCAGTAATTGGCCCACTTTATTTGCCAATAAATCGGGGAAAAGTGCATAGTGTAATACCGGCATTACAAATGTCAACACCCTGTATATCAGAAACGATTTGCCTTGGAACCTTAGCTTATGAAGCAAAAAATCCAACCGTCCAGTTCCAAAATCGAATCGGCTTTGCTAAGTGAATATTTTTTCTGGGAAAACTAAGGTTTTTGTAACTACAAAGTTTGCAAATGGGTCAGTTTTTTCAGTTTATATGAATTATGCCTATATATACAGAGTGTTTAAAATACGGATGTCGGAGCTAGAAAAATATTCCTCAGGCAAAAGTAAACTTTTGTGCTTTATTCACGTTGTTCTAAGTTCTTTCGATTCGTAGCTACATAATCTTCAGGGTTTATTGTCACATTTTGTTAATAACTCATGAAATAACAACGCTTTTTGAATACGAATCGGTATTTCAGCTAAAATACCGCCGATAAGTCCTATTTATAAGAACAAACTGAACAGAGCTGGGGGTTCTTTTTTGACTTGTCTAAGGCATTTTTGGTGATTCTCTGCCGGTTTCATCTCAAAGTCTTTCCTTCTGTGTTCAAATCTGAAAAAGATCATCCATTAGAAATATCTTACATTTAATGGTCGGTTCTAGGGCTGAGTATCTAATTAGGCGTAAGTACCAAATGAAGACATTATACAGATTTACAAGACTGGTGGGGTAGAAAATCACAATAAGGGCTGTACTTATATAAATAGCCTAAAGGTTCATCGTGCAACTTCAGTTCGACTAGGGAAAGTGGAAAAGCAGCCAGAGAGTAACGTGAAGTGTGCTGACAGTGCCTGTAAGTTGTAACTTGGTAAGTTTATAATTTCCCCCGATATATTTTGGTATCACCAACCACACCATGCGTGTTTTAAAAGATGTCGGCCGCGATTCAAAATTAGTATTCTCGTATCTCCAGTTCTGTTCGGTTAGTGATCGGCAGTTCGCAGGCAACGCGTACGAGCAAGTTCGTTAACGAATAGTTTTCACCAAATCGATCAAAATGTGTTTTTTGATTAGACTTTTAAAAAGTGGTTGCAATCAGTACAAAGAGACTTGAGGGTGGTTCAACGGATCGTAGATTGTTTCAACTTTTCATCAATTTTAGGATTCATTATTTCGGTTTTGCAACGGTAAGTCAGGGACTTTGATATCGTACAATGTCACTATAGTGTGTGTTCAGGAGATTTACGATTATTTATTTGCTCGCTAGATTGTTGTTGGATATCGATGCTTCCACGTCCACTTTCCACATTATAATTAACTTCTGATACAGAAGTTAATTATAATTATTCATTGGTCAATATACGATTTTTATTGCAGAAATGCTGCAGTACTAAGGAAAACTTATGTTGAAATACCGACGTAGGTTTTACACACCACGTTTCGGACAAAGTCTATTTCATAGCGAAACCATTAATAAAAACTTTGTCTATAAAATATGTCATTTTTACTTTATTAAAAAATACGCATTTTGTTGCTGTTCGGATCATGTTTCGTATGGATAATATACGGTGTGTCGCGTATACGGGAATGTTCAATAGGAAAATCAATGGGAAACTGCAAAAAAAGACTAGTAGAAGAGTGAAAATACGATAGAATACCACAATAATTGGTGAGAGCTATGCGGTTGAAATTATCACTGTAGGTATATTCTTTAGATTAAATAAATGTCATGAAATATATTTTATAAAGAAAATATTTTTTCGCAAAAGATTCTCATATTTTGACTTGTTAGATTGACTATTTATAATTATTCTTCTTATTTTATTTTATTACAATTTTCTTATTATCAAGGAAACATTAACAATGAAATGCATTTCTTTCTTCGTAGAAGCTTTTATCCTACCGAAAAAATCAGAAGGAAAGAAAAATATCATTTTACTATCTACAAATTAGAATTCCAGATAATAATTTCCGTACATGCCTTAGTTTAATAAAATGCCAAAACGTTATAAGTTAGAAGCTATTCTCAAGCAGATTCGTCTAGAAATCTGCATTGGTTTAGAAAAACTTGTATTTCTGGAAAATAGTCTTTTTTAGCAATAAGTACCAAAAAATGGAAATTTTATTTACAAATAGTTGATAGTCTTTAATTTTATTTCAAATTTAGGAAATGCTACAAACGGAAAACTCGTTCCATTCTGATTAATTAAAAGCTACTGAATCAAATAATCTTAACGCCAATCTTTACAATTTTCCAAAAGTCTCCATCTCCTTCGCATTTGAAGTTAAATCTAGAACTTCCATGTAGTTCCTGATTTCTTGAAACTCACAACTTTTCCTAGGGAAAAAGCGGTTTGCCACTATTTTTCGTTTATTAAACTTTACATTTTTCATAAGTAAAGAAGTCATGCTTTTTATTTTACGTTTCAAGCACCTCCCATCATAACGATGCTGCATGAGCAAAAATCAGTACTTTAAGTGGTTTGCAACCAGTTGCCGAAAACATAAAACGCGTTTAAACAATTGAAAATACATCGGCCAAATTTTGAAAATTTTTCAATTAAATTCATAGGCGAGCATTTTAAGTTAACGAGATGTGAATTTTCCATCCAGGTACTAATATTATTAGCGCACTTCAATGTCTCAAAAAGTTGAATAAATCTGGTATCTTTAACACCTTAAAAAGTGACCAATCAACTAGACAAAAACGGTAAAATTGTTACAACTTTGATTACAACTTACAGTTTTCATTTTCTGATCATTTCTTTAGCGTGAACCAAAATGCTACTAAGTCACATGCTAAGTTGCGAAAGAACTCTTAACGATTTGAATCTTTCTTTATTTGAAAACATTTATCAATGCGATGGAAAAATTTAACTGAACCATTTATCATATTCTGTGGAATTCTATTGCATAAAACAAATTTAAATTTTACATTTTCATCTGTACTAAACCAAAATGCAATTTGCTATTACGTACTTAACTGCTAATTAGCAAGCAACTTATTATTACCTAACAATAATAGTTGATATGCCTTAACACTATAATTGCTGAGTTGAGCATCGTTTCTATTTGTGCTATTAAAACAAGCAGATCCTATTGCATTTATTGCGTTCAATACATAACATGAACTTTTATTATGTGATCGGATTGTATTCCAGTATATTATCGAATGGACATAAAGCTGGACCGTTTGGAGGCCAGGTAAACTTACTAAAGTGCGAACAACTTCGGGAAAACCGCTGTTATAAATTGAACAAAAATGGCAAACACTGTTTCCGAGTAGAAAACAAGGCTAATTGCACCGGAACTAAACAAAAAATTGAAACAACCATTATTTTCTCGAGCGGTGGCAATTATAGGTAACAGTGAGTAAAATTGGCAATAACATTGCATATTTTTTGGAATCGTAATGTTTTTCCTTATTGCAAAATGTATCAGTGTATTTTCAGTAAAAATTCATAAAAATCCTGGTAGAAACCATGAAAGAAATTTTAATTAGGTTACACTGTTTTGTATATTTTCAATATTTCTAATTAAGATCCTAATCCGTTTTCGCACGAGCTTAAAAAACAATGTATCATCAATGAGGAATCGTTTAGCCCGGCAAACGTTTACACTAAGACGATAAATATATAAATAGGCATATTCCGGTTGAATCGATGAGAGGATTAGAAGTAAATAATTATTCAGTACATCCCGATTCAGACGTCCTGTTTTATATAG